GGCCGGCCCAGCCCTAACCCACAACAGAAGTATCTTAATACTCTACTTCTTATATGCAAGTTTTATCCAGAGCATTACAAATTCTTTAGTATTATAAGCATACTACTACTTTATAAGAGACAAAATATGCTCAACGTAAAAGAAATGCTGCTTTGGAAAAATTTATAATAAAAAGACATAACAAGGAGCAATAAAAGTTAGCCAGAAGCAGGTTAGAGGCTAATCTTCCCTGCTGGCAAACTGCACAGCTGAGATGTGAGTGAAGGTGTTTCTCTTGCACGAACCTGCAAGCTCAAACAGAGGCATCAGAGGAGAACAAAAGGGCAGCAAGAGGAGCAGCTCCTTATGGAGACAAGAAGCTTGCGTAAGGAAAAAAGATAGAACTATAGGTAACGAAGAGAAAGGCATGTGAAGATTTGAAAATACAGAGAAGGATCTTTACTGCATGCAGGAAAGAAGAGCTGAGTGATACACGTAGTAGTTGAAGGCTCTCAAATCTCATCCAGCTTCAAAACACTAAACTTCTATTTCCTGCTCTTAGATACTTGGTTTGCAACCAGCCCAGTGCAGGTGACTGAGCCTTGTCTATAAAAGCCAGTTCTCCAAACTGAGCAGTAGACTGCAACAACCAGTCAGTATTTAAGTCCTTCACTTGCATTTGCACTGCAGCTCCAGGTCAAAATGGTGCTCATGATTATTCTAAGACAGGGAGAGCAGAAGAAACTCCTGGGGTTTATCGCATCTGTACTGCCTGTCAGAGCATGCCAGTGTTCCCGTACCTAGCCACTGAGCTCACTTAACAATGACTGTGCTATGGGGACAAGTACAGTCAGGGGCCACATAGCCAGGCAAGCAAAGGCACTGGGATTTTGGTGTTAGCAACTATATTGCCAAGCCCAAACACGGGAGAGAAACTCCACCAAACATAGTTAACTGAAGACACAGTCTAGAGCGTACTGCTGGAGAACTTGTTTTTCTTTCTAGATGTCTTGCGTGGGTATTGTCACGCTGCAAAAGGTAATTGATGTCAAATTTAACATCTACTCTTCAGGGATCTCTGCACTCTTTTCTCACATCTCTGACCCAGGATTCAGCAGCAGGGTGGGTTACTTGCAGGAAGAACAGGGGAGTTTGCGCCAAAGTTTGGTTAGTGCCAATAGTTCACCAGGTTTTCATCTCTCATAAGCTACATGTGCTATTCCCAATAGCTTTTTTACTTCTGACGCCCCCTCCCTTTGTCTCTGCTTTTCTGTACGTTATCTGGGGATGTATTTTCAGCTGCCAATATCTCTTTTAAAAGGACTTTCACCCACATGAAAACAAGGTAATACCACAGCTTGCAGCAATATTGCTTACATTTTTGAAGGCTTCTCTTTTAACAAAAGAAAAGTACGTAGAAAAGCAAGATCTGATCTCTCTCTGGAAAAATCTGAAATAGTAATCAAGTAAAGAGAGTTGCATCTTTGTCCCATACCTGGTTCTCATGAAATTAACAGCAATTTATTCTCCTATTCAAGATAATGTTTTATGTGAAGAAAACAACTAAAGTGGTGAGGAGGGTAGAGTGAAAACCCCCCAGATATGTTTAATGTACTGGTGGTGCGCCTTTGGTGTAAATTATGGTAGTTTTTGAACACTTCTAAGTTTTAAATATATCCAAAAAATAATCTGTAAATTTTCCAATAATACTGGCACATTCTTCCTCATGTAATTTGGTATTATAATTTTATAGCCCCTCTCTTTACTGGAAAGTTGCATATAAGAAGAGTGAAGTTGTTGACTGAGCATAATTTTCCATGTGATCAATCTGCAAATTTTGCAGTTCTTAGGAATAACAATCTGGCTGCAGTATCTTTTATTTTTATGTCTGAAAAAAAAAGTGATTCACAAATAGTTTAGGAAGCTGAGTCACAGCTGCACAAGAGTTTATAGACTGTTTTTGGAATGCAAAGAAGCAATTTACTTGAACCTCAGAGAAACGTAGCAGTCGGTTTATGTTTGGAACCAGTTCTTAAAATAGATCACTCATTTCATGACCGAATGAAAGCACAGCCTTACTGAGATCTGGATAGTAAGTGTGTGCCCATGCCAGGTTCACGTTTAGTGTTGGTAGAATAACTTATGGACTCTGTCGTAAGCTGCAGAGGCATGGTTGTTTTAAATGATATGACAGCAGCTGGTGACGCTAAAAGGAAACAGTTCTGGTTAAATTTTTAATGTTTTAGAGATAATTGAACAATGTTTTGAGCATCATGAGGTTTTAGTGATAGCACAAAAATTAAAGAGCTTGTTTTACAGCTGAGGCTTAGCATCTTGCTGTTTGAAGCCCCTTATGGCTAAGCTATAAGGCTAACATGATCAAAGAAATGCATTGTCCAGGCATGCCCATTGTCATTCTGCTCATGTGGATACTGCGCTGCCTTTCCCAAGATGAATCAACTGAATAAGGTGGCTGGGATTTGCTATCTGTGCTAAAATGATGGGATTTCAACACTTCTTTAGAAACACATCTTTAGAAACAACTGGCACTTGCACAAGCCCTCTAACTGGGCAGATGCTGCAGGAGAGTCCTCGTCCATTCACACTTGGTAGAGGAGATCAGCTCTGGTGAAGTGCAGCAAAGTCAGGTTGCAAGCAAGCAGCTTTAGTTCTGAATGCACAAAGCTGCCTTAAAGGAGAGGAATTTGCACAGCCTTTCCTCATGTGTGCAACCCCACTGTTTTCACAATTTGCCTACAGAAGTAACAGCTCTCTGCTCCTTAGTAGTATATTATGTCTCAAACTGTATTAAGATTTCAGACATGCAAAATTTCTGTCAAGACCTGAAGGTTCACCTACATGGACTTCCAATGAAACGGAAATAGCAGTCATTAATGCATTCTAGGACATTTTGATGAGGGACATCTTTCACAAAATCGAGCCATCTGATTAATGATATCTAATGATTTTGAGTGACTGCAACTTACAATGTGCTTACAATATCCACATTTCCAGTTTTTAGCATCTGATTTTCCATCTGTTTCTCCATTTACCAATTTATATCTGGATATGGTTTTTCACTTGTTTTTTTAAAACAAAGATTGGTTGCTGATAAAACCAGTCAAATTAACAATTAAATGAACTGTAATACAGTAGCATAGAATTATCATTCAGCTTTGTTGTCTGAAAGAGATTTTCTACAGGTTTTCACCCAAGTTTGCTGAGAGTAATTCAAATTAAGTTGGAGCAGTGACATCAATGTGAACATAAGGAAGTCAGAATCAGCATTTTTTACTGTAAGGTAGTATTTCTTTCAAAGACTGTACAAAGAGACATACGGGAAATTTCAACTTTGCTTTTCACTTTGGAGAAGTAAAGCCTGTTTTTTATCACAATTTCTATTTAAAAATAGGCTCTGTGACAAATTTGAGAATGTTTAGCGTGAAAGACAATTTCTAGTGTTGAAGGTAGTGTTTCACAGGATTGGTGAAAGTGGAAATGTTTTTCAGGCTTAAGGTCATGTTATTGTTACTTGTAGCCTTACTGTTTTCCTCAAAACAGATCTTTACTTTTTCCTTAAAAGCTAGTTACCATGTAAAGTGTAGCATGTTTTTCATCTAATGAGAATTTCTAACACTTGTGAATGCTTGAAAGAAAAGAAACCGTTATTTCCAAGTTCTAGTCCATCAATCAGAAAACTGCTACTTAATAAAGTTTGTGGTAGTTACCTCATTAGTATCGTTCTGCATGAGCTGTGTGGGTTTGTTTGGGTTTTTTTAAAGGAATGTAAGATAATTTCTACTGCAGGCCAGCAATGCAGTAAACCATGACTGTGTATTAATTTAAATATCTATTAGTGTGACTGACTCTGATGTCTGCACCAAAGCAGCAAAGATGTTCACAGTTTTAATTTTTATAGAAAATTCAGATTTTTGTAGTTTGTTACCTTCGGGGTTTTTTCTTCTTCAAAAAGGCTGTTACAGCTCCATTTTCAACCATGGCAATTTTTGTATTTTAGTTATTCAATGCTGGTCTCTTGTATCTAACAGTACTAATTCTTATTCCTGTCAGGTATAAGTTTATCTATTCATGGGGCTGAAAAGCGTGCGCAAATCTGTCAGAGGAGAATTGCAGCAAGCTACCCAGTGTCACAGCGTCCGCCTGTGGTTGGGCATCCTTCACTTTTACAAGTCAAAAAGTCAATAAAAATGGAAGCCTCGTCTTCTGGATCTAGTATTTCGGCAGTCGCTGGTGGAAAAGCAAAAACCCATCATCCAGGTAACGGATTTGCCTTGACACCTTTTTCACTTCCATTTCTTGTCTGATGTGCCATGATATTGTGAAGCTAATATTAATAGCATCAGATCCTGCTTGCACTGAGATCAATCTATTGATTGTCAAAGCTATTGATTGATGTTTTGTCTATGTTTGGTATGTTTTTGTCAGTTACACATTACAGAGAGTAAAAACAATTGGGACAGCTGAAAGTGGGAAATAAAAATTTAAGGTTAATCATTAAAAAAACATTAAAATGTGTGGTGATATTGATATCCAAAATGTTAATACAGAGAGAGCTTTGGGCTCTTATTTCTCAATACTGCTCCACTTATATATGTTCAATTCTGTTAAGCCCTGAGCTAATGGCAATAATCTAGAGACTACAGGCATCCCCTGTGGAACTCAGTAATCGACGCTAATGTTGGTTTTGAACAAGGCACAATCCAGGGCATAGATCAAAGTCTTGCTGCTAGAATGCAAACAAAAACTCTAAGTCTGAAAGAGATTTTACAACATTCATTAACTGGTTAATAAGATGAAACTTTTTAAAAGAAAGTCAGAATCTCCTGGGAACTATCAAATTCTAATTGATATCATGAGTTCATTCCTTGTTATGTTAATTGCCAGAGCTATTTTAGAAGTATCTTTTCTTATAACAGAGGAGTACATTTGTGCTGGCCATATTCAGTCATTATTCACAATGAGAATTAAACTCCAAATTTCTTTCCTGAGTAGAGTGAACTAAGGCTGCCCATGCAGTCGGTTTTGTAGCTTCTAAACTGAAAGGTCTCCCAGAATTTCCAGTGTTGCTGCTCTGGAAAGGGAATGATGGACCCTGTATGCAGCTACTCACATGCTGCGAGGCAGAGTCTGTTTGTGCAAGACAGACAGTTCTGCCTGCAAATCCTTAGTGTGCTTCCATTACCTTGCAAATCTAGTAAATGGTTTAATTTTTGTAGAAGTTGAAAACATAGCTTATTTATTGTGGGTTGCTATGGAGGTCTACTGCCATGAGTTTCATGCACCCATGCTGTTTAGTCACGGTAATCTTTGTCAATATAGGTTAATTAAGAATTTACAGTGACTCATAACCATATGTTTTGTTTATTTCAGTTCTTCTGTTCACTTGTTTACCCTTCTATTTCTTCAGCTTCTATGTTTTTTCTTTGAAGTATGGAAATTACTAGTACAGAACTGTTGTTGCTAAAGATACATAATCATGACTGCAGCGTGTTGAAGGATTGACAAAAAAACCCCGCATCACAGTTTGTGAAAAAAATATTCTGAATATGCACAATAAATACGTTCATTTTGAGCCACTACACAGTCTACATCTATGTGTTGATAGATATATCCTGTGCTTCAATTCTAAATTATATATAAGCAGTATATACTGGCTTCTGATTGAGAAAAGATCCCTTTTTAGGTAGTCACCAGACACTTCAGAGGAATTTAGAGTGATAGAATACCAGGTTGAAAGGGACCATCTAGTTCAAACTTTCTTGGCAAAAACACGGTCCAGATAAGTTAGCCCAGCACTCTGTCCAGCTGAATCTTAAGTGTCCAATGTTGGAGAATCTACCGCTTCCCTGGGGAGATTGTTTCAATGGTTTATTGTGAATAATTTTCCTCTTGTGTCCAATCAGAATCTCCATGGGAGTAACTCATACACATTACCCCTCACCTTTTCAGGTGACTCCTTGTAAAAAAACGGAGTCTCCAGCTACCCTTTAAATACTGGAACACAGTGATAAGGTCTCCTCTAGTCTTCTTTTATCTAGGCTGAACAAACACAATTCTCTTAGCCTTTCCTCATATGGCTCTCCTCTGGAACATCTCCCACCTGTCCACATCTTTTTTGTATAGCAGGGACCAAAACTGAGCACAGTATTCCAGGTGTGTCCTAGCAAGCACTGAGTAGAGTAGGATAATATCCTTGTTGATGCACCCCACCATCGTGTTGGCTTGCTTTGCCACTGCAGCAGCACACTGTTCACTCGCAGTGATCTTGTTGTCCACCAGGTCCCTTTCCACAGAGCCCCACTCCAGCCAGGTAGATCCCCGCCTGTGCTGTACTCCTGGATTATGTTTTCCTAAGGTGCAAGACTACACTTGTCCTTGCTGAACTTTGTAAGGTTCTTGTTAGCCCACTCTTCCAGCCTATCCAGGTCTTCTTGGAGGGTGACTCCCCCTTCAAAGTGTCAGTTTCCACACTCATTTTTGTATCATTAGCAAACTTCATCCAGATACACTTGATCACTTAAGAAGTTATTAAACAGATATTTAACTTTCAGTACAGTCATATGGGATTAGTTTTACCATATTCTGCTCTTTAGACACCAGGAGTATCTATGACCTACAGCAAGCATACTTGGCAGCTTGGTTCAAGGAGACATTTAGTATTATGAGCTTCGCTGCGGTTAAGAGGATTTTATAGTACTCAGAGCCTTAAAGGCTATATATTTTTATTAATATGTTGTATGACAAGAGTCTTTTCTTAAGCAACTTACAGTGTCACTGTTTCATCTGGAATGAAACAATGTTTTTTTATTATTTGGTTCTGTCTTCTTAATTCTCTATAAGACCGCTAGGTTTGTCTCTGTGTCCAGGTTAAATTACAGCCATTTGAACTGCATGCATGTAGAGTCTAAGACAGTTTATGGTCAGACAGTATGAATATGTTACTGATTCTTGGTCAGCCACAAATTAACAGCTGTAGCTTCATAAATAGCCTAATACACTAGTTGACCAATGGTAGTACCTTATCTAAGGCTGTACATTATAATTAGTTTGGTATTTTAGAAAGAAAATGTTCTGACATATATTAATTACTTAGGTAACAGATCTTACACCACCCTTTTCCAAGCTATCCTCCTGCTACTGCATACAGTAAATTCCTCAGGTTTTTGTTCAGTCTAACTTTAAAGAGCTCATACAATTTGGGTTCTTCCTTTTGTTGTAATGCTATTACCATAATCGAGTAAGTCTCAGTGCTGGAGTAGTATACATTATATTCAGTCTGATATTTCCTTTGTCCAGTTAACAAATACCCTGACCATGAAAAAAGTCAGGTGTAGTAGATTATACAGAAAGGTATTCTGAGGGCTTAAAACGGCATTTCTAATTCTTTACCAGAGAGGCTAGAACCATGGAAATAAAAGATTCTTGACAAAAAGACAGTTATGAATGAGTGTATTTTTTCCCTCTGACAACATACCGCTTCTGTTTTCTGTACACCACTTTGTTTTTCTTTCCAGAATGATACCTTATAGTATTTATCATGAGTTCTTTCTAACTGACAGTTGTATCCTTTGATTGAAGTTCATAGGTAGCTACATGCCAAGGAGGAACTATATATACTGTTCAGTGTTACAGCACTTCTTTTCACGTTGCTTCCTTGCCAGTACTACTCAGCCACAAGCAGAACCAAGCACAAAGGAGAACCACAAGCTCTGATTTTAAGCAGATCAGAGGGTATCAAGTAACTGAAACAAAACATAGAGGAAAATGGAGAAATGAGTGGGAGAAAATAGCTATTATTGATGAGGTAAAGCCTCCTGATATTTCTGCAGGAGCCCCTTTATAAGGAAAGTTCCTTTTAGGAGAAAAGTAAAGCAATCAGATGGTACGTTTAGATGCAGTGATATAAAGGTAAATATGCATTCCTTTCAGAATTATGAAAGGGCAGTATTTTTAGTTTTGAGAAACCTCCACTTACCTTCTCCCAGTTGTGGTATATCGTGACTAATGGACTACTAAGTACAGTGTTCAAGGCACTTGGGGCAAACTTTTGGCTCATTGCTACAGCTCTCCTGAAGATATCTTGTATTTGATATGCCTGTGTTGCACTCAGGAGGTTTATTTTGAAAGCAATGGTAACAAGCATTTAGGTGGTCTGTAAGAGGAGCAGAGCCAAGTACTGTGAACAAGACTAGAGGAGTTTAAACTGTCATTCCAGTCCATCCCCTCAATGTCAGGGCTAGGCAAACCTGAGGGGAAAAAAAAAAAAAAATGCTTGCCTCACTTCCGATGGCATCGCACCTTTGCTATGGAGTTAGCAGGACTTTAGTTTCTGTGTTTCTGCCTGCTCTTATCTTACATCTTCCTGTTGGTGACAAATTCCTTTATTCTCAGGCTCTGCAGAACTTGCTAAACCTAGTTTCTTTAGGGGTCATTAAATTTGCTGGCTGTGAGGAAGTTGCCGTATTCAATAGTCTAAGCAGCAGTAAAGTGAATTCTTTCATTGCGTGAAACTCTGGAATCTTCTTAGGTCTTCTCAACTTGCAATGCTTGATAACAATTGTTACTCTACCTGTAATAACAGGGATTCAAAGGTTCCCCAGCAAGATTTTCTTTCTCTATGCTTTCTGTAAAGGCCTCTGGTTAAATCTTAATGCTTTTTGAGGTTTATATAAAAGTGTATATGTTATAATGTAGATATAAATTTGTATCACTTATACAAATCAGCTCTGCAGGCAATCTACACAACAAACAGGGAACATTGTCTTTGAAATAATTTGTTTCCAAAATTTATTAAATGTTTTATGTAAAGAGTCTTCATTCCAGGAAACACATAAAGATATTCCAGAAATTTTTGCATTCAGTAGTTTACTGTTCAAAATTATCTTCTTCAAGGTGAGAACAATACAGTTTTGAATGGAGACTCCTTGATACCTAAAATGATCTAGGCATATCCATGATATTTGGAAGAACTTTATGTTCAATGGCAAGGAAACACCTACTGAAATGGCTAGTTTCTGACATTGTGGTGGAAATCTAGTGGGGTCATTGGAATTCAGTGAAAATCTTTTTTTTTTTTCCAATTTCTTGGCTTTTGTGACAAATAGTACCTGCTAGGTATGTTATAAATGTTAAAGGAGACTGTGTTTCCTTTAGATATGGTTTTTATTGACTTGAATTCTCTTTTTTATTACTTATCAAACTGTAGCATTTGTATTGATGCCTACAGTTATTGGACATGAAAATGAGAAAGAAGAGCT